GACTAAAAACAAAATATAAAGGGATGGAGGTTAGGGGTTAAGAATATAGCTTGGTGTGAAGGTCCTGGGTTCAATCTCTAGTATTAGGGGGAAGGAAACAAAGAAGGAGGGAGGGAGTAAGCACAATACAAAGGAAAGTACCTCTGCAGATTTTCAGTAATACCAATGTTTAATGAAACATATGTTTCCTTTCCCTGTCAATAGTGCAATGCTTGCAGTCAAGCCTCACTTCTAGAAATTACTTATTCCAGCCCTTCTACAAGAGCTAATCCTTGATTCTTCTTGATTCTGGCAAATATATTCCAGGTGCCACTGCATCAAGCTTTTGGTGCCACTGCATTTCTTTCTTCTCCCATTAATCCAAAGCCACAACTTCTCAACCTTACCCATTCTGAGCCTCAAAAGTCAGTACTACTGTTACCCAGGAAAGGTGGCAAGTAATAGATAAAAATAAAAAAGACACTAGAGACATCTAAAAAAAGAGCCAGGTGCTGGCTTACTACTAGTTTAAATTAAAATGTCTACTTTAGTGGGAACAAAAGTACTTTAAGCAGTACTTTATGCAAAGTGCTCCCTCAATAGAGAACCTAGTTATAATGGAAAAAGGGGGAAAAACCCAGTGAGGTTTATTCTTATGCTTTTATCTAGATAACTCTGCTTCCAGCTGTGAAACTGACTGATGTTTTTGAAGCTTCCAAGGAGCCTCTACTAGTAACCACGGTTACTGCTTCAAAACAGTTCCAAAAAAAAGAAAATTAGGAGGGAATCACAGTTTGAAGAGAAAAACAGATTTCTTGACTTTCATCAAATGGAGCGCTAGTAAAAAGACAGGGTAGTAGCTAGACAAAGGCTTCAAGACTGTGATTTCTCTCCAAGCCATCAGGGTGCTTGATCTTGAGGCTTGGTCTCTATACCTCGTCCAGAATTGATCTTCAAAAACCAATTTAGTCACTTAAAATAGATAATATCTTATGAACTTAACTAATATTCTTGTCAGATCACAGAATTTGCTTTCCAACATAGAAGTTTGCTTGAAAAAAATACTAAGAGCACAAGATTGCTTAGTAAATACTATATGAATCTAAGTCTAAGATCTTGCCTACAGTTTTAACAGAAAATTGCTCAAGCTATTCTTCTCAATAGTTTGTTCTCTAAAAGCTTACCATCAAATATTGTCACTGGATGGGCTCCAAGAAGATTCTCCAAAAGGGAGGTGGGGACTGCAACTCACCCTAGGTAGGTTCGATGATTCTTGTCACAGAAAAAGAATTTCAGCAAGTATCAATGAGAAGCACAGGCAAATTCATTAGACAGTGCTGAAGAACTACACACTCAGAGACAAAATAGTGTGTGAGTACTTATTATGATCAGGGATTGGGGATATGTACGTGGTCCTGGTGGGACCCTTTAGACAATGATCTATGATGTTTTGCTTAAAAATCATCCTTTGAACTCTCTGCATCTTCTTTCATTTTAAAGTCAGATTGCTGCCCTTTGTCAACGCCGTTAATTTATTAACTTATAGTGTATTGAATTAGTTTAGAGTATACTTAAGGGATTTCAGTGTTGTGATAGTTAACTGTGCTGTCAACTTGAAGAAGAAAAGTTAAGCTGCTTGGTTTAATAAGTTCTGGGTGTGTCTGGATGATGGGCTTAGTGGAGAGGGAAGACCCATCCTAGGCTTTTAGCCTGGATGGAATAAAAAAGGGAAAGGATAAGGAACCAATAGTCTTGATAGCCCAGACGGAATAAAAAGGGGAAGAAGAAGAAGTCTGGCTTTTGCTTCTTTGAAGGATCTCTGGTCTCTGCCATCGCCTCTGGACATCCATCCCCAGGCTTCGGTGCAGACTCTTCAGTCTTCTGTGCAGACCCTCTGGCTTCCTGATAGACTTGCATGGGACTCTGAAGTGAACTCCAGGTCTTCACACTTTGATCGGATCCTCCAGCTCTGCAGCACACAGACTGCCCTTTTGCATTCTCCCACATCTGACTCTGCTGATGGCCACTGTAAGCCTACCTTGTAAATGCAACATACATACATATTTAAGTCTGTTCCTCTAATGAACCATGAGTGATATCAATTTTGGTACCAGAAGTTTGTAAATTCATGTGTGTATGTGTGAATATAATATAATATAATTGATATAATATGGTATTTAGTATATGTGCTGTCAAAGGGAGCACAACATTAAATCTATTCTTCTAGTGAATCATAACTAATACAGATGTGATAGGTCTGGATGGCAAAAACAATAACAAAGAAGCTTAGCAAGTACAAACAAATTTAGGGAGTAAAGATATGGAATAAAAATATAAATAACACTAGATAACCCTGATTATGCTTAGAAATATAGTTTCTCTCCTTTCTACCTAGTTTTATTTCTTATATGCTTCTTCTTCTCTTCTCAAATTTATTAGCAATCTCTTGAGTTATTAAATAATTTAGTCATTTGACATATGATAATCTACCATATTTGGGGCACTATGTAGAACACTGAATATGTCACATAAAGAAAATAGACGAAACTCATAACTTAGTAGATCTTGCAATCTAAAGAAAAATGAGATTAAATACACAACTTTATAACTGTGTTAATGTGCTATGAAGAAAAAATAAAAGATGCTAGGATATCAAAAAAAGCTTCTTTGGTATATAACAAGATCTAATTCTGACAGGAACTGATTCTGGGTAATGAATACACCTAAGGATTCTCTTTTGTACAATTTCAGAAATCCTCATAATAAAACTTAAAAAATAAATGAAAAGAGATTAGAAAGGTAGTACAAGATAAACAAGGCAAGGCAGGCAAGGACAGATACAATTCAGAGAATTGCATCTAAACTGCCTATCAGCAGAAGAAACATAAAGAAGTACAGCAAAGACTGGAGAAAATGACCAGTGATGTAACATACCCAGAAAGATCTCATAGAACAGAGATTTCAATTCTCTCTCAAACAAATCTTTAAGTCAATGACATTCTAATTAAAATCCTACATATGTTTAATGTTTAACTTAATGAATAAATTCTAAAGTTGATCTGTAAAAATTAATACCAAAGAGTAAGACAAACATTTCTGAAAGACTAATAAAAGACTTTTCAAGACTTCTAATTTTTTTTTTTTTTTTCAGTACCGGGGATTGAACTCATGACCTTGCACTTGCCAAGCAGGCGCTTATACCACTGAGCTTTATCCCCAGCCCAGTGCTATATAATTAGATCTAAAGAACATCAGTACAAACAGATAAATACATGTACATATATAAATCTTACATAATTTTAATGTCGGACTTTAAAATCCATAATACAAGAAACATTCAGTAAGTGCCATTAGAAATAATTATGTATTTTAGGTGAAAAAATAGTTCTGTATAATATCATTTGTAAAAATTATGAAAGATTTAAGAGTTTAAAAATATTCAAGCTGTGCCTGCCTGGCAAGCACAAGGTCCTGAGTTTGATTCCCAGTACCAAAAAAAAAAAAAAAAAATTCAAGCTGGCTACAGTGGCACATACCTGTAATTCCAGCTACCTGGGAGGGTGAGGCAGGAGGATCATAAGTTCAAGTCCAGGGTGGGCAACTTAGTGAGCCCCTATCTTGATCAATCGATCAATCAATCGGGCTAGGAATGTAACTCAGTGCTAGAGTGCCCCTGGGTTTGATCCCCAGTGCTGCCAGCAAGGTGGAGGTAAAATTCAAAGATGAAACAGGTTTACCCAATAAACCTGTTACACAAAGAAGTCAAAGTATCATAAACATGTAAGTTAGGTAAAAATATTATAGGCAGTCAGATAGGACCAGGCCCTCCAGGAAGTCAGTGCAAAAGACGAAAACACATTACATATATGGCTGGAGGTGCATCTGTTAAAGGCCAGGCCTCAAGATAAAGATGAAATGACCACGCCTACATGCCTCCCTGAGGGGTAAACAATAAATTAGAGATTATACTATAATTGCTGTCACCTGGTCCAACAAAGTCCAGATAGACATCAGTCACCCAGGTGGGTGACCAGGACCTCCTAACATTCCTTTTTTAGTTTTTTAGATTTCCATTATATATTTTAAAAAATTATCTGTGAATATACACATTCACATTTACTGGAACATGTGAAATGTTTTGATATTTTTATACCAAAAAGAGGAACAAAAATTAAAGGAAATAGATACAAATACTTAAACATTTTAAAACTTCTATATACAGAAACTGCTACAAAATGAAAAGGCAAACCAAAAGGGTCAATACATTTGCAAAAAGATGACAGTTAATATTTTAGTACATCAAAAATTCATAAATAATGATATAAAAATTGGTAAGTCTCCAACGGTTAAGTGGATAGAGGATCCAAATGACAACAAAGCAAAATATCAATATGTACATATCAGTTTAGCAAGTGCTGGGGTAAGGGAACACTTAACATGATAATGTGGTGAAATGAGCATGTTCAATTGCTGATGGTAGAAAAAAAGCTGAAAGTAGCATTTTAGGAAGAGGTTTGACATTAGTAGCAAAAACCTTAAAAATCTTAATGTTCTCTGAGGAAATTATTAGAAGTTGGGAAAATCTTTAATTCTTGTTTCACAGAAAGTTGGTTTACTAGACAAGTGGTATGCTACTGTGGGCAACAATTTCTTTATTATAAATATAAACACCAGCCACTAATTCAGAGTTGTGATATTTTTGAAAGTAACAAAACCTGTAAAAATGTCTTAAAAATTGCAGAGCAGAGGGTTGACCCAGGGTCTGCGAAATCTAGAGGATTTCTAAGGTTCAGGTCTATGGCTAAATCTATGTGGATGTTTGTGGAAAGATCTACACCTTTGAGGATACCCTCATAGAAGTCCTTGAACCAAAAGAAAATTGAAAACCACTGTAAGAATAGAGCAAAACAAAAGTGAAGATGTTTTTCCCAGTATCCACCTTGCTCTCTGGCACAGTTCAGCCCTAAATCAGGACTTCATTATGCAAATCCAGGTAGTACTTAAGATGCCATTAAACTTACCCTGCTTATTTCCAAACCCCTCAGAGTACTGTAGTGATTCTTAGGAGATTAATTCATTCTCTGATCTAGTCGTAAAGGGAACCTGAAATTAGGAAAAAAATATGACAGATTTATTTGGATTAGTCACATGAACTTAATGTAACCTAACTCAGAAAATGGGGAAAAGCAATAAATAAGTTTAATATATTTAAAACACTTTCTTTTTGAGACAGGGTCTCACCATGCAGTTCAGGCTGGCCTTGAGCTCACTTTGTAGCCCAGGCGGGTGCACCAATCTTCCTGCCTCAGTCTCCCAAGTGCTGGGATTCAACGTGTGTGCCACCACAACCAGCCCAAAAACACTATTCTTAACTCACTAAGATATACACAATTAGCTTGATCCTCAACAACATAAAAAAAGTAATTAATATATAAACTGCACTGAAACATTTCTTTTAAAGCAAACAAAAGCTAGAGACTACATATACATTTTTAATAAAATGAAATATAGAAAATTATCACTTTCTATAAAATAATTCTTAAAAGTAAAGGATTAATTCTGAAACATACTTTTATTTCTAGAGATGAGCTATACTTTCATTTAAAAAAAATTTAAAACCTAAAATTGACTTACAGTAACAAAATTCTGCCCAATCAAGCAAATGCAACTAGAATATAAGGGATTTTAATTATAATTATATTGCAAGCAAAGAAACTGAAAATTAACAATATTTGATGATTTCTACTTCTGAGAAGGTGAAATAGATGTACTTTTCCCTATGTTTCCCTTTGAGTAATACTGAAAGCCCTGGCTATACATAACATATATAAGGAGACTGAAGTCAGAGATAAGGTAGACTGGGTATGTAGATCTCAGGATCCAAGAAAAGTGACTGACTAGTGAATTCTAGTTTTCTTTTTCATATTACCATAGACTTGGAGCTTAAGAAGCTGGTAGCCCAGATCAGACAACTCCCCAACAAAAAGAAACAAAACCTCAAACCAAACAAAAAGATAAGGAAAGAGATAATCTTAGTCAAAAAGCAATTACACTTCACCAAATGTCACAAAAAAAGCAAAACTGTGGTGTCACTCCCACCAGCAAAGGTCAAAAGGAAGCCTAGCTTGAGTCACCCTCCTCAGGTGGCAACAGGGTACCCAGAATTGAGTACCACAGTCATGTCAGAGAAGACCAGTAAGGTGGGGGTGTGGGGTCAGTCCCTGCTAACTGATAATGTGATCTCACTTCCCTTGCCTGTCAGTGAAGACTACACGGCAGTAACAAGGCATCCCTTCCATTCTCTGCTTTAGGCTGGTGTCTTAGTTACTTTTCTCTCATTGCTGGGACAAAATACCCAACACCTAAAGTTAAAAGAGGAAAGGTTTGTTTAGCTCACAGTTTGTAGAATTTTCAGTCCATAATCAAAAACAAGGTGGCTAGTTTGGTTACTTTTCTCTTGTTGCTGAGACAAAATACCTGCCCCCCAAAATTAAGGTAGGAAAGGTTTATTTAGCTCACAGTTTGTGGAGGTTTCAGCCCATACTTGGCTGGCTTCAAGGCAGTGTGGCACATGGCAGAGGGCAAACGTTCATGGTGGCAGAACACAGTAAAGCAACAAGTGCAAAAGGGAGAGGCTGCAAGCAGCCTCTTTCCCTTCCTTACACTGTATGCAAACTACCTGCCCCACAGCAGGTGTAGCACTCACATCCAAAATTCCAACATTAGACCATGAATCAATCATAAACTCTAGAAGCCCATCTCATGACTGCATGAGGTTTTGGGGGGACATGCAGACACAAACCATAACACATTGACTTTCAAGCACTTCAAAGCACATGACACACTCCACAAAAGCAGGGACATTGTGCTATTCGCACATGTCTCTCCGTATCTAAAGAAATCTCTGGCACCTGGGAGGCACTCAATAAACATTTGTGAAATGAATGAATGAACTGTAGCTTCTGCTTTCAGTCTCTTCAAAGCTCTAAGCTTGGGAGTCAATTATGGAACTTCTTAGCACTTTTCCTTTCTATATACTATATTTGCTGTCAATCTGAGCCCACATAAGCTGTACATGTATGTTAAGACTACAAGAGTTGAGAGTGTTCTTCATACTCTGTAAAAGAGTATGTACATGATGGAGAGTTGGAGTCCCTGAAGGGGGAGCCCCATGAGAGTGAAATCATGAATGCCAGGCTATCTATACCAATTGCCATTGTGAGTTCTGTCTTCACCTTTGGGACAGTCTCTCACCTCTCAAGCTTTTCCCCTTTAAGCTAGCTTCCTCTGGACAAACAGACTGACTTTGGGACAGAGCCTCCGACACAGTGGGGTTCAGCAGTGTCTGAGAAACACAACTGAATGCATTTCAGGCAGAAAGAAGCATCCAACTGGGGTCTGGCCTGAGACACAGGCAGAGAATACCAACTAGCATGGACTATCAACAGGCAGAGAACACCAATAACCAATTCCACGGAGGTAGCCCTGAAGCTATCTTTGGGAAGAGCACTTTGTGCAAGGATTGGGACTGTGGGATAGAGGAACCATCCTCTAGGTATGGTAACAATGATCTCACCAGGCCAACTCCAGAGTATGCTTCTGAGAGTTGTTACTAGAAGTTCAGCCTTGAGCCTATTCTTCCAGCCTTTCCAATGTATATAAAGGCATTAATAAACGCCTTTCTGCTAAACTAGTATGGATTTTATTGTTGAAACAAGAACTTGACCTAGGGGCTGGGGATTTAGCTCAGTGGCACAGTGCCTGCCTGGCAAGCACAAGGTCGTGAGTTCGATTCCCGGTACCAGAAAAAAAAAAAAAAAAAAGAACTTGACCTAATTTTTGTCAGTTATAGTATCAATTTTAGGATTTTCCTTTTTACTGTTAAGTGTATTAATTAATACCTGTTATCTGCTTTATCAGCTTTAAGTAAAATTATTTTATTTCTAGCTATTAAAGATTAGGAATTCAGCACATTTATCCTCCTAAATTTTTATTTCATAACTTCTTTCTGGCTTCAAAGTTCCCAAGTTCTGGTCAGGTGACTTTCCCAGATAATTCCTAGAAATAATTGTGATCATTAACTGTGGTACATCAACCTAACTTGAGGAAATTCTGAGTGTGTCTCTAGATGACAGACATGTACACCAGCAAACTGAGGGAAAAGAGACCCCCCAATATGCATGGCACCAACAAATAGGCTTGTAGCTTGGACAGAATAAAAAGGGAAAGAAGGAATGGCTTCCCTTTTCCAAGGAGCTGCAGACTTCATTATTGCCTTTGGACATTTGTCTCCAGTTTCTTCAGCCTTCTAGTGCAGACTCTTAGGCTTCTGATATAGATTCATGCCAATAACTACCGAGAGCTACCAGATCATTTTTTGACTACTAATGGATCCACTGGCTTTCCAGTATAAAGATGGTCCTTCTGAATTCTGTCTCTGATTTTGCGGGCAGCCAATGGACTCTTCTGCTTCAGATTTATCCTGATTCCTTTCCTTTAGTGAATTTTAATTAAGAGAGATTTGATGCCAAGAGTGGGATCATTGGTGTGAGTATACCTGGCCATGTGGTTCTTCAGAACTAACTCTCAGAAGAAGTTTGGAAAAGTTTAGAGATACTGACTAGAAAAACTGTAGAATGTTGTAAGCAGAGTAAGTAAAGATTGATGAGAGATGCAGGTCAGAGCTGAGAAGACTAGAATGCTGACAGAAACGCAGTCACTAAAGCCTAGGCCCTAGAAGGTTGCAGTCAGGAACAAAAACTCTACTGAAGTTGGACTCAAGTAAAAGACTTACATTGAAAACTATAGTACTCTGGAAAAGGAAATTGAAGAGGATATCAGAAAATGCAAAGATATCCTTTGTTCTTGGGTAGGAATAACCAATATAGTAAAATGGCCTTCCTTCTAAAATTGTTATACAGATTTAATACAATCTCAATCAAAATTCCAATGGCATATCTCACAAAATTAAAGAAAACAATCCTAAAATTCATTTGGAACCAGAAGAGACCTAGAATAACCAAAGTAATTTTAGGCAACAAAGGCAAGACAGGGGACATCACAATCCCCTGACTTGAAATTATACTACAAAGCTACAACAATAAAAACAGCATAGTACTGGCAAACAAACAAACAAACAAACAAAAAAAACAGACCCAAGAGTCAATGGAACAGGCTACAACATGCAGAAACAACTCCAAACATACTCAACCACCTTATCTTTGACAAAGGGGCCACTGAAAGAAAAGTAGCCTCTTTAGTAAATGGTGCTGGAAAAACTGGCTTCCCACATGCTGAAGATTAAAACTAGACCCATATCTTTCACCTTGCACTAATCTAAAGTCAAGATGGATTAAAGATCTAAATATTAAAACAGAAACATTAAATCTGCTGAAGATAGAATAGGTAAAACTCTTAAAGTCATTAATGTAGGCAAAGATTTTCTGAATAAATCCCCAACTGCACAAGAACTACCACAAGATTCAACAACTGGGATTTCATCTTATTGCAAAGCTTTTGCACAGCAAGAGAATCCACCAACAGAGTCAAGAGACAACCCACTGTGGGAAAAATGTTTGCTAGCTGTTTCTCAGACAAAGGATTATTATCAAGAACATATAAAGAACTGAAAAAAAAGCAGACCCCCCAAATTTAAAGATCCAATAAAAAACAAGCATTTAAAATGATAACACTTCTCAGGCGAAGAAGTATAAACAGCAAATAAATACATGGAAAAATGTTGCATCACTGGTCATTCAAGAGATGCAAATTGAAACAATGTTGAGATTCCATTTCACTTCAGAAAGAATGGCTATCATCAAAAAATCAACCAATAACAAATGCTAGTAGGGGTATGGGAAAAAAGAATCCTTTTCCACTGTTGATGGGAGTGTAGACTGGTAACCACTGTGGAAATCAGTGTTGATATTCCTCAAAAAAACTAAAACTAGAGGTTCCACTTGAACCAGCTATTTCCCTTCTTGGTATCTTCCCAAAAGAATTAAAACCATCATACCACAGCCATATATGCACACCTATGTTTACAGCAGCAACCAACACCCAAAAGTAAGGAAGGAAAGGTTTATTTAGCTCACAGTTTTGTG